TTTTTTTTTTTTTTTTTTTTTTTTTTTGATTTCGCTGTCAGTATTTTATTATACATGAGCTTCATTCCTCTCATAAATTTTTTAATTGACTAAATAAACTTTTCTTTTTTTTTAATAAATAAAATATGACAAACGCTTTAAGAAGGGCATGTTCTTTTAAGATTTATTTCTACTGCAGAAAAATATGTATATATTTTGTCCGTTGATGGATCAAGCTGGGCTTACCCATCCAACGTCGAGATCGTCCATCCTATCCCCTTCACTAAAATAACATTAGATTTTCGCAGCCCAGCCAACCATGTTTTGACAACATAGAACCCAGAAAATCCAAACTTTTTAAATTGATTTGTTCTCCACATTATTCTTTTGAAGATAAAGCTTGGTGCTCTACAAGGATTTGAACCACTGGATGACATTAACCTCCACATAAAGGCATGGTTTGAGGAAGTTGCTTAACAGCTGCGATATTAACAAGGGAAGAATATCAGTAGATAAGTCTAATTAATGCGACATTCCTTTTCCTGGTACCAACAATAATGTCCGCATAGACGTCCTTAAAATAAATAAACAACACGTTGAGTCTATATTACATCAGCATCAAAATCACAAGTATTGGTAACCATCTTTTGGACATGTACAAGGCAGTTTTGCAGAAGCCTCTTCTCAAAGGACTGACAATGCGGACGCACCATGAACGGAGTGGCTTCCTTGAACGATCAATTTTTTCATTTGAAGACAGTTGATGAAAACATGAACCAACAATGTTATGTTAGATGGACAAATATAGGTGCTGTGAAATATGATTGAAATATCAAACCTGGTTTTCTTTTTACTAATTTCAGGAGAGCAAGAATATCGAACCCACGCATGCCTCCACTGATTTTACTAATTTCAGGAGACATCACAGTTTGAAACTTCCTAGAATATTTAATATCTTAACTGCTTGACTAGGATGAATGACAGTTCAATTTAGTTGAACTTTTTGATCTCTAATAATGCTTAGGCATCAAAGTCACTCGCAACGCCCTCACTTAATAATCGCATAGCAGCTCCCTGAGAAAATTTTCTGGCAAATAGAAAACAAGTAACGAAAGTTGAATTATTTCGACACCATTCCGTCCTGAATTCGGTCTCATAGTAGACATGGTTGATTCCCTGTCAAAATAATACACGTCAAACAACATAGTACATACTAGATAATGCATAAATTCAGAAAAGGAACCCAGAGCAACAAATTTATGCCACAAATTTACCAATACACTAATTACTCAAATATGGTTGATAATGACATAGGATAGACACCAATTCTCATTCAATCATTATAAGCCAGGCAGTCCAACAAACAATGTAAAAATGAAATTAAAAAAAAAAAAAAAAAAAGCTTGCTTGCATTAAATAAAAACTAGAGCATTTAATTTTGCAAGAAACCACATTTATCCGCCCGCCCTCCCACCCTCTTAAATAAACAAACACAAACACGAAGACAAAAAGAGAAATAATGCAATATAATTAAACCTTTATTTCCTCGATCTGCCGAGGTCCAGCCTTAGCATAGTTAAAGGTAATAGGATGCCACCCCTTGTTCTCCATATTATTGGTTGACTGATTCCATAGAGTGTAAGTTAATGTTCTTCGTTCAAGTTCACCTTCAAGTTCATTTAACTACAGAGTAAACACAAGAAAAGAATGTTACAATGTAAATTATCTGTAAACTAAACTATTTCAGACAACAATTTACAGCAACTGCCTGTAAAGGGTTATATAAACTCATCTCCCAAGATGGAGAGAGAGAGAGAGAGAGATCCATAGCGAAGGAAAAGATATCATGGCCTCAGAAGACAAATATGTACTCACCGCCAGCAATGTCTGGACGTAGTGTTCATCTGGAATACAGTTGTGCTGCTTTTGAAGTTTCTACAATCAGAATTTAGGCCAAGGTTATTGATGCATTTCTTATTAAGGAAGATTGATTTCTAGTGGGAAAGATTTGATATTGATAGCAGCACCAACAATCTTAGAAGATAACATCCAGAATAATGAATAAACTATTTCGTAATAACATTCATATTGTTGAACTGAATTTCTTCATATACTCAAATTATCACTTACAATGTTCATAGTTCCTTTGCTGGCATCCACAGGTGGCCTTCGCTGTAGTTTAGAATAAATATAAATTTTATAAGCGATACCAAAAAGAGTGAATGTTGCTTCATAAAAATCTTAAGAATGTGTCTGAGGAAAGTGGATTCCAGTATGCCATTCAATTTAAAGATGATACATTTGGGGAAAATGTGACCAATATATTGTGTTCATGTGTAATGTGTGTCAGTGTGTGAACGAATGATAGTGTCTCCACACAGAAGAAATAGTTAACTGCACTTGGATCATAGTTGACAAATGAAGAAGGAATTTTCTGCAAAAGACATACCTTGCAGAATAATCCAAAGACTGGGAATATAATATCATCATCCACAATTACTTCTGCGTGACTACGAATCAAACTGATCCACTGCAATTTAACCACAAAGCAAATATAATTGCACACATCACCATTGTTTAAAATTCAACTAATAAACATCTACACCCACGAGAGCGGAAACAGTATTGCCTAGTACATCTAAAATAATTTATCAAGCAATAAATAAGGCATACTTCTTTTTTTTGGGTATGTGAAAGAACACAACAGCTGGGATGAAAATACCGACTAGTGAAACACAAAACATGGACACAAATCCTATGTCTCATGGTTGAATCTGTATAACTAAGAAAAGAAACCAAAAAAATAAACGAAGCAAAAGATCCAAGAAAAACTATTGTGATGGATGACCTGGGACCCTTTTCTCCATTTGCCCTTAGTTATAGCAGGTGACATTTTTGGGTTATAGCGACCCTCCTTTGCATCAAGAAAGCTACAAGAAAAAATGAGAATATATATTTCAATATAGAGAAATTTTACTCTGGAAGCTATAAAAATTTGGCAAATATCTAAATTTTGGCAGCAAATGGCCAACAAAGAATCAGTGCTTGGCACCTCAGAATCAAAGCCCTCCATCTACCTGTCCACAAAACTCCTGGGAGAAGCCATGAGATAGCTATATATATAGCTAAAGTTGTATAGTGGAACGCAACTGCAGCATGAGAAGACAAATCTTAAGGGAAGTTGTGAAACACCTCAACTTCATAGATTAAAATGTTCAGAGAGCAACGGAAAGTGGCAGTGGTGATCCCAAAAGACCTGTCCGATAGAAGAACAAATCTCTGATTTGCAGTGTCCTCAAGAGCTGCTTCAAGTAACAACCTCTCTGCAGCAATCATACTCGACTTTCCCCAGTCCACCTGCAACATAACGTCACTTCAATGCAACCAATTACCAAAAATCAAAACTTGAAAAATTATCGAAAACATTACATGCCTCAACATGAATTCACCCCCACTAATTAAAAACAGAGAGTAAATGATAATTTCATCATGATTATAGTATCTACCTATCGAGAACAATAGTCCTAGGACATTGTCAAGTTTTGACTAGCTAGGGTGAAGTATTTACATAAGTTGTTCTCTCACCTTGATAAAGGTTAGAGTTGTTGGAGCACTAAGGCTACTACACATTGGAGAGTAGCCTACTACGCTCCTCAATTTAATACAACGGGAACATCCCATTTTGAAGACTTCATCCCTCATAGTAATTCCACACACGCGCGCACAAAAGGGTAAAGAACAAGCCGAAAGGCATCTATTTTCCATTATTCTCCAGTTTGATGGTAAGCATTGGTACGGAAAAACATAAGAACTTCATTTCACAAGAACACATCATGTTACCTGAATGCTATTCTCCAATTGCCGTCCAAAAAAGAAATGCGACCTTGTCGTCGATTCATCGAACACAAATCCGGGTGCCGAGTGAATGTAAATCGAGAAGTTCGCAACGTCGCCATTCTGGATAGAAAATTGCAAATTATTTTCCCAACTCACAGACAATGCCTAATCGAAGAAAGTTTTAGCGAGAGTGGAATCTTTTAAACACCTGGAAGAAGCTTCCCCAAAGGAAATCAAGAGGGAGGTTTCGACGAGTGAGAAACAAGAAGGCAATCTTAGGGCGGCCCAAAAATAAACCAGGAGGGGGGCGCAATCTACGGGATAATGAGGCAGAGGCGAGGTTGGTCCGAGAAGACGAATGAAGCCTAATAAGAGCGAAAACGCAAAGTGCAAGAGAGAAGGTGATGACAAGCTTCCAGCTGAACCAGATAAGGCTGCGCCCTGGCGTTAGAGGGACTTTCTTCCTCATTGTTCTTCCTGCAAATGAACAAAAGAAGTTTCATGCAATGGATCGGAAAGGAATACCAGAACAAAACAAGAGAGAGAAAGGAATACATGGAAGAGGTGGCGGTTTCGCCGGGGAGCTGATTATTAAACAAAAACGCATGAGAAAAGGGGAGGGGATGGCGGTGGCGAAATGTGAACGGAATTTGGAGTGTTTTGGAAGACATCTCGGGAATTTCATGAACAACAACGGTAAAACGGCGTCGTACGGTTGAGTTTGTTGAATGGGCCATCTGGGCTACGATCTGGCCGTGCCAGCACAGGGCGGGTGGCGGGAAGGGCGTAGCTAAGCTACCAGGCCTTGTGGGCCCCTTGAAATTTTCTGTTGTAAGATATCATTTCGGTCGAGTCCATCAATTTTGAAGAATCCAATTTTAGTATCCATATTTAATAACTAGTTACTTTATTTGTGAAAGGTGATGGAGCTGGGTCATCATGTAACTGTTAGCATTATATATATGTATGTGTATATATATGTATGTGTATATATATGTATATGTATATATAGACTTATAGATGTAAGATACAGTTATTAAGGATATCTTATCTTAAAACACGAGGATGATGAAAGAAACAACTAACTAATGAGTCTTTTTATTAATTCAAGATAGGCGACTCTATAATGGTATAATATTGTAAACTCATGATTTTCATCTTAATTAGCCAACGTGGAACTACTCTCAATATTCTTCGACTCGATGATGAATTTTTCATATACACAACAAAAAAAGAATGGTATTTTCCGTTAAATGGCATCCCCATATATAGGGTATAATTACCCTACTACATGGGTATGCCATCGTTATTTCAATGAACGACAGTCTACAGATCGTTGTATCAAGAAATTTCTTCATAACAAACTGAAAAAAATGATGGAACAGTGGGAATGTCGATACAGAACCTCAAATGCCGTTGCCACAATGTCTTGAATAGCTGCAGATTTACTGTTTTGATGATCAAGACCTGTGATGGCTGCAACATTTCTTTTTCCATCCACTAAGCTGAATCATTCTGATTAATGCACAACATTACATTGAAAATCTGTTGTATTCGTCCATCGCTTTGTATCTTTTGGAAAAGATTTCTGTCACTGAAACAAGTTTAAAATTATCAGCGGGACACTTGTGAGCTTTGAAGATCCAGTATTACATTCAAGATCTTGCCAGGAACGAAAATTCGTTTCTTGATTGACTGCCCTGTTAAATATTTGGAGAGTTTTTCATCCTGCTCTGCTATCTGGAAAGCATCCTCCTCCGTACATGTTTCCTCAACCTGGATGGTACCCCTAGTTTTACCATTGATCTGAACTGGTAGGACAATAGTGGAGTCCTTCAAGTAAATAGGGTTGGCCTGTAATGGAGAAAAAAGTTACGAGATTCAGCAAGTATACTTTGCCACGAAGACTGATAATTCTGAATCTGATTGTTCAGTGAAGCTCCAATATGGTGTTCTAAATACCCCACCACTTCATCACCCTCCGATCAACATATTTCTTAAATACAATATGGTGTTCTAAGCTCTCTCAAGTCGTCAGCCTTAAATGCAATCACATATGACACGTTCCATCTACTGTTTGTATCATTTCCTGACGTAATTATGAAGCATTATTGCTCTCCATCTGTAGGTGAATTATAATTCTATTCTAATTTTGCTTTATTTTGAAGTGAAAGCAAAACGAACCTATGAAATCCCGTTATCTTAATTTGCTCTCAAATTGAAAGGCAATTCTTCAGGAAATAGGTAGAGTCTAGAGTTCTAGATTGTAAATGGTGGTGAGGTATTTCATTTTTCCTAGTGAGAATATCATCCAATACCATGTTGAGGATTCATTGACAGTCATCCACAAGCTGACAGAGACGTGGAAGCTATTTGTGTTGATGACAAAACACGGGAGTTGTTTCCCTTCTACCATTTTGAACATTATTTCTTCTAGCAGAAACAATTTAACATACCAACAAGACCAAACTGAAAGTATATAGATCCTACTTGTGAATCGTCATTAACCCAAAACCACTGAAAAAAAACATAATGTGAAGTTTAATCCAAAGATTCACCAAGACAGGGATTTACATTATACGTCGATATGATTCGTCACAAGGACTCAAGTGGCTAATACACCCAGTGCATACCTTCTAAATGCAATAAGGGACCAGATAATCTTAAAGCCACAACCATATAGACAAAATATGTAAGTATTTAAAGGAGGGAAGAAAGATAAGAAGTCCAAACCTTGGGAAAGGGCTCGTAAGCCAACGATTCTGAATGTCCTAACCGAGACCATAGTTCCTCAGCCAAGTGAGGTGCATACGGTGATAGCAACAAAGTGAATGCTTCAACGATAGACCTTGGGTATCTATCCCACTGAAAATAGGAAAATGAGAAAAGAGAGAAAAGACCAACATGAATTTAATTAGCTAGTAAATGGCATCATGCTGATCGGAAGAAGTGACGTGGCAAATAAATAATGTCAATTGACTAAGAACATATGCTAAACCATTAGCAAGATATCAAGATTTTAATCTCTAGGTATCTCATTCTCTAATTAGAGATTTAAATAGGATCAACTAAGGAGTTCATTTTCCCCACCCCATCCCCATTGAGGCAGGAGAGAGAGCGAGGAGAAAATTTTCTCCATTGACTAAACAAGGGCGGAGACTTCATACATTTGAACTTTTTGAGACTTAATATCAAAATTTAAACTTTTAAGAATCATAGTTGAACATTTTAAAATATGGATAATGCTTACTAAATATTATTTGTTTTTTATTAAAATGTTCAAGATTTTTCTCTTTAAATGAGACTTCATCATTAGAAATTAACTATTTAAATAGAGATTTTCCAAAAAAAAACATGTAATTTATTGATTTTTTCCCCTAACAATAGTAAATGGGGAATGGAGACAGGGAAGCCATCTCCGCCCCTGCCCTGTGAACATCCCAGGATCAAAATGGCTTTTCAAGGATTACTTAAGTTTTGTATTAGATAATAAAGTGACATTCAAGATTAAGAAATAAATGGAAAAATAAAGAACCATATCTACTGGAGGGAAGGATCCTCCAAAATGTATATAGCCTGCAAGAAAAGCTTAATAGTATTGACTGGCTGACTTTAAGTTTCATTACTTATATATATGTACGTATGTATATGTATATGTACATATGTATGTATGTTGTCTATGTATATATGTATGTATGGATATGTATAGATGCAAATCAGAGCCTAATAGTATCGATTGGCCGATTTTAAGTTTCATTAGTATGAAACAAATACAATGCCATGCCCTTCAACCTAAACACCATGAAAGTCAGACAAGGACCAATTGATTAAGCAAAAAAGCTAATGTGACGGAAAATAATGCACATTTTCCAACCTTATATGCCACGTTAACAAACTCCATCATAGCTGAGATTCCTGTGTTGAATCGTGTCCCTTCAACTTCTTCAGTTACCTGGAAATTGAATCATCATTTAGTGAAGGGAGATACTGTATCTGCAAAACACAACTTCAGTATGACATTTATACTATCTAATATAACCCATCAAATAGGATACTTATGCGGAATCAGAATCTATTTACCCAGCAATCCGAAGGTGAACTTTAATGATCATGCAATTATAGTTTTGTTGATATTTCTTTCCATTTTTCAGATGCCAGGTAAGCTAAGCAACATTTTGAATAACACGTAGCGGAAAGAGAGCAAAACAAAGCTTAAATAATATATGACCTTCATAATGCACTTATGGAGTGAACGAAGTTGTTCGAGAGTGGGTTCCTCATCAGTTACCACAGTTCCATCATTAAATGTACCATCAGCTGAAGGTGGTCCAACAATTAGTCTCCAAGTTCTTCCCAAGAACCTATGGACACCTTCAATGCCGCTGGTATTCCATTGTTTTGAGTCTCTGGAAGAAAAATGAGACGAGAAATTACGAAAAGTAATATAAGCCCTTCTCCGACTGATCAAGAAAAGAACAGTCACATAGATTGAAATGCTAGATATTTGAATTTTAAAAGTTATAAATCAGAACTACCTAAGAGGACCCATAAACATTTCATACAAGCGAAGAGAATCCGCACCATACTCAAAAACAACATCGTCAGGATTAACAACATTTCCTCTACTCTTGCTCATTTTGTGAGCGCGAGCAATCAATCGGATATCAGGACTGTCTTTCAATACAAAATAATCTCCAGATTTCATGACCTACATAAGAAGAAATTCAGTTGAGAAATACTGGAATTCAAACAAACAACAATACTCGATTTTTAGTAATGGATATGATTAGCTACTTTAAACCAGGAGAGACATTTATTGATCATAATCTGCAATTTAAATCAGGCATAAAAATCAATGAAAGAGATACACCAGGCATAGCGATCATAAACCTTTTCCTCAGGGATTCTTTCTTGATTATATTCACTCAAAACATCAACGGAATCTGCAGACACTAGATTACCATCTGTATCTTTTAAAGCAGTATACTGAACCTGCCGTTTAAAAAAAAAAAAGTACTAAATTAAAAACCTGTGAAAAAGGAAAATAATCTTGTTTAGAGAAACAATACTTACTTCCCCAAGTATGATTCCTTGGTTTATGACACATTTGAACGGTTCCTTGGTGGATACGACGCCGAGATCATAGAGAACCTGAATCAGAGAGGCTCAATCAGATGAATGGTGTAGCAGAAAATATAGGACAGAACATCCAGAACGGAAATAGGTCAGTATTCGGCAATCATCTTGTCAAAACAAACAGTTATTTCATAATCAGGCCATTGCCAGTTTCAGGTGAAATTTATCCTTCCACCACCCTCTCGTGGTTTTGCAATGCTTCATAAGACATTACAAACAAGGGAGAGTCTAAAGCATTAGTCATACTATAAATACATTTTATCAAAAGAAGATAGTGCAGAATGCCTTGAGCATTTTCACGAAGCATGGACTATGAAGGGCAACCAATTTTTTTTCCTGAAAGTCTAAAACCAAAAATTAAAGGCTTATAGTTAACATTTTGTTTTTCTTATTTAATAAGAAACAAGATTATTTACCAATAATTTATTTATTTTGTAATTTACTTTTAAAAACCCTAACCTAAATTTAAAGAATTAAAATTAACTTTGCTTCATATCCATAGTGAAAAAATATTTTCCATATTTCAGTAATAACGCTTGAAGCAGAAAGCTCATTCAACATCCTAATTTCTTAAGAGTAACTAGAACAAAATATAGCAGATAACTGTACAGTATTTTTT